CCACCAGCAAATGAAACGTTGTCTTTAAAAATTCAAATTGTACGTCTTTATTTAAAGATGAAAACCTGAGGAAATCCAAGATTTATGAGAGCAACTGCGATGTTAGACATCGCCTGAAAGTACGCAGCGCTATCCTGCGGAGCGATATCCAATGCCTATAAATACACACAATGACCTTCCGATCCCAATTAAGCAGCAGTACTGTACGGTCAGACTGCTGTAAATGCTTGTGCGCAAGTCTGGAGGGAGCAGGTTAAGGTGGCTTACTGAGAAGTACTTTTGTATGGCCTGCTTGTTTAGGCCTTTTTTATACAGGGCATTTCCCTCGTTTCGTAACGTCACCGAACGCTCCTCAGACTTCATTGTGGCGACGCCTCCGGCAATAAAGCGGTGTAGTGGTCGTTGGTTGAGGTGATGCTCCCGTTGCCTAAGCACCAGGCAACCACGGCCACACGCGAATTACAAGTTCTTAGTGTCGAATAGTTCATAATTCATCCGCCTCACAACATGGACGAAGTCCTTGACTTCTGAAGTAACCACTGCTGGCAATGTTCCACCGCAGCAACATTACTTCGCTATTTGTAGCTTACAACACTTGTTCTCCAGCGAATGCATTCTCCACGCACGGATCCAATCTTTCTTGCCTGTATTGAACATTTTACTATTTATGCTGTTGGGTTACTGCCAATATCGACAGTAAATTTTTTGTTGTTGTGGTTGAGGTCTCAGTGAATTCAGGAATTTTAGTGTTATTTTGACGTGAAGTTTTTTGGTGGTAATTGACTGGGACTGGAAAAATTAGTTTTCTTTCATAAACGAGTGGGTTTGTGTGTAGAGCTAAACTAATGAATTGTGTATCTGTGATCAATGTAATGATAGGTTATCGTTCAAATCAAAAAATTTTGTTCCACTACCATTTAGCATGTTGGAAGAAACGATCAAAAACAAGCTTGGTGTCAAGTCTCTGACACCATTTGGCGGTTCTACTGGTGGTTGTATCAGCCGGGCTCGTGGTTATCATACCGAGGAGTATGGGAATATTTTTATAAAATTCAACAACAAACCACAGGTAATGTGATACTACTCTCAAGTGAGAACAAATAATTTATTGTGAACATTGAAGTTTTCTGCAGGGGAAATAGTTTTCTCATATAAATGCTTTTCTTTTTTCATATTTTTTACTCGTTACAGGCAAAAGTTATGTTTGATGGTGAATTTGCGAGTCTGGAAGCAATGCACAGTACTAATACAATCCACGTTCCTAAGCCTATCATGGTAATATTTAAACCAAATTTCTTTTTTTATACTTCCAAAATGCTTGCACTTTATATTATTCGTTTCAGTTTTACATTGGACGTTTTTAGAGTATCTCTGAAGGTGGTCAATCATGTATAGTTACTGAATATTTGGAACTTAATGGCCCTCCTAAAGCTAGTGAGTTAGGCACTCAACTTGCAAAGTAATTCTTCAATATTCTCGTCTTGTTTCCAGTTCTGGCTGAAAGGAATACGATTAATATAAACAATTCTTGTTGGATTTGATGGTCGAATGCTGTTTTTTTTTTTTTTTTTTTAGAATGCATTTGCATAATTCTACACTCTTAGCAGCTGCCGAGCACAGTGACTCTTTTGTTGGAGGTCCAGAAAAAACGCCACAGCCAGTGAAACAATTCGGTTTCCATACGACAACTTGTTGCGGATATTATGCCCAGCCGAACGAGTGGAGCGATAATTGGGTGGTATGTTGTGCGGGTTTATGTTGAGATTTATAAATAACAGATCTCACTAAATATTATGTAGGTGGGTAAATATTATGTTGTATAATTGAGTATAATTCATAAGCATGGCTGGTAAGTCATCGGAAAATATGTTTTTTGTGTCATTTATTCTTTAGTACACAGGTCAGTTTTAGGCTTGTTTTAAAAGGTGTAATACAAAGTTTTTTGAGGTTTAATAACAGCTTCAACTCTTCATGGCTGTCATTTTCCGTAGGATTTTGTGATAGGCTTCCTTTTTGCGTCTTCTGCCCTAATTTTTTTCCCGATGAGCTAAGTCGCACATCTGAACAGTTTATCAGCTGGAAGACTGTTAAAAAAAAAATTTGCTCTCAACCAAGATTTCTTAATTTATTTGTTTTTGAGCAGCATCCTCACCACAGTCAGAGGTTGGGGAAGAAGTGAGACATCTTTGCTTTTTAGCATCTCAGCAACTTTAGAGTCTAGATCTATTATTTGAAAGTTATATATCGGTCCGTATTCTAGACATATTTCTCCAACGACATTCTAATCATTCCGTAAGGAGGTTTATGAAGCGGGAAGGTTAACTTGTCTTTTGTTTCAGGAATTTTTTGCGAGAAATCGCCTTAAGTTTCAAATAGATATGCTACTAGAAGTGAGTGTTTTTTTTTTTTTTGCGTTTACTTGACATTTTCAAATGAATATGTGTTCTTAGAGTTGGCTTGTTTTTTAAATCGAGGATTGGTTGACATGAATGATAGTCAGTAACGATATAGAAAGCCTGTACTATTAGTTTTTCTGTAAGTTTGTTTGCAGAAGACAGGAGACCGAGATTTATTAAATTTGTGGCCCCTTTTGGAGCGGAAAATACCCAGTTATTTTGATTGTGGAGAAATTATTCCTAGTATACTTCATGGTGATCTGTGGTCTGGAAATTATTCTTATGATAAAAATGGACCTGGTTGGCTTTAGTTGACATTTAAATATTTATCTTTATCAGAGGCCTAAGGTAAAATGGTTCATTTTTAGTTTAGGTTATTTTCCAAAGTTTAAATTTTTGATAGAGTATTATATTTTTTTTCAGTTATATTTGATCCAGCCTCATTTTACGGTCACAGTGAGTACGAGATGGGGATAATGAGCATGTTTGGAGGTTTCGCCACTGAAGTTTTTACTGCTTATCACAATCTTATACCAAAGGCACCTGGCTTTTACGAAAGGATTCAGTTGTATGAGCTTTTTCATCACTTGAACCACTGGTAGGTACCAATCTTGTAGCTTTTTGCTTCTCGATCCAAAATGCTAGTTGCTTCTAAATGACATCGTACTTTTTCTCACAGGCCCCGATCTATTTCATATTAAAGTCTAATTTCCTTATCTAATCAGTATTTTCATTCAAATTAGTTAGACGTCAAAGATATCACAAATGAGTTATTTCAGGAATCACTTTGGCGCCGGTTACAAGCATGGATCTTTGAATCTGATGCAGTCACTGTCTTGAGGGCTGAAAGCGGTTTTTTCATATTATTAGTAATTCAGAATTAGTTTAGCAGTTGCTTCATGAATAGCTTACTTATAAGATGTTACTTGTTCCTCCTTAGATCATATCCTTCTTTGTCGCTTTATCAAAGTGTTAGTACTATACCAGTTCGTTTAGCCTTATTTCCTGGGATTTATGCGCTTAGTTACTTTTAAAACCTCCTCAGTAGGAGTTTAGAAAACACTGACTACTAGATTTCTAATTCATTTATTTTTAATAATTTATTGAACTTCTATCCGAATACTTTTAATGTAAATTGAATAATGAGTAACGTCTTTTGTAAATCTTTGTATTTTCATATTACTTTGATTTGTTGGCTGACGAGGAAATAGTTATTGAGAGATGGGACCGAATATCGGCTGTGCAGTTAATTTCTAAATATAATGTTTGCTGAAATGATAATATGTAGATAAATAAATGGACGAACTTGCAGGGCTTTTCAGTAGCACGAGTTCTTCAGCTTTCTGCATATTAGTCAATTTTTCTGGTTTTCCGGATGTTAAAATTTTCGACAATTTGATCGGCCTTTTGGGACTTCAAAAATTTGTTGTTTTTCGCTAGAGCGGGTTTTATTCTGTCTATTGATTGGTTTTATTATCATTATAATGATTATGGGTATTATTATTGTTTTTCCTTTATTATAATTACTGTCATTAGTATTAATATAATTGCCATTTGATTGTTTTAACAGTGAAGTGAATTTGAATCTAAACGATCACATTAACGCTGTCCCGAACACTTTTAATATAGGATGGAGGTGGAAAGTAGACAGGAGTAGTTTGGTTCCCAGTGCTTTGATATACGGGTACGAAGTTGGGGCTGCAACAAAGAATATTATGAAGAGTAGTTTGGGCGGTGATTACAGCTATCTATTTCGGTTGTTTACTGTTATTTGAAAAAACGGGCGTTGTCTTTTCAACTAGTTTAGCGTGTTTTCGGCCGCTTTCTTTCTGGCTTTCAAAACTGCCTTAGTGATGTTGGGGATTTGGAGAGGAGTAAAAGTTAAAGGTCGAAGTCCATGTTTTTTTTTTACTCCATCTTATCTGTCATTTTTCCCCTTGATTGCAGATTATTTTCATGAGGTCATCTTCATTTTGTTTCATAAATATAATTTCGAATGGAATCAAATGTCTGTTTTTTTGCTTTGTAAACTTTTTAATGAATTAGTCAATCAACTTGTCTGACCTGGGTGTTGAAGCGAAGCTCAGGGTTGTGTAGCCGGTCTGTTGAGGCCGAGCACATCCAACAATATTCATACGCATGTTAAGGAAAATTTTTGATTTTTTATACCTGCAAGTAGACGTTTTGTCATGCCTATTGTCTCTTTACTGCTTCATAGTTTTGTTAATAAGGTGCAGCTTTGTCTCAGTGCCAAATATATTGAAGTAATGTGTTGACAGAGTTTTAAACCGACTTTTCTTGGAAGCTATTCTCTGCTAAACACTGACAGATGCCATCACGGCACAAGAAATAAAAATTCACCTTTTTGGATTCGCGTTAGATGCAAGAATGATACACGCTGTAGCCAATGAAACAAGCATTAGCATTCCGAATAAAAATGTTACGTGATCTTCTGGCACGTCATCAGGAACGCTCAAATATTCCAGCGTGTAGTTTCTGCCTGACTAAAATTACTATTTCTCAACATTAAGTTTTTTTAAATTCCATTGCTTTTATATTATTTCCACCTCTAGACGGAAATTACTACTACTTTTAATTGAACAAAAAATCGAATGGCTCATAATAGCCAAGTTTTTTACCCTTAATCCCCAGCTTACTAACTAAAAATAAGCATTCATCAAACATAGTCATTTGAAAACTTGGACGTATTTAACAGTTAGCAAAAAAAAAATAATTCCTTGGTTTAGGATTTTTTTGCGAAAAAATTAATTTTCACTGTTTGTGTAAATTTTAATAGCCAAAAATTCTGCTAAACTTTTTTTGTTGCTTAAAAAAGAGAAATATTAAAAGAGGGCGACGAAGATGATGATTACGTTATAAGTCGGAAATTTTTGCTTACATTTGTTAAGTTCATGAGGTTATAGTATCGCCCAGTATCACCACCATCGATAAAGCGGCGCAATTTGAAGTGATTTCTTCTTTCTTTCTATTGTTATATATA